TAGGGGGGGGGGGGGTTGAACAAAATTAAATATTAAAATATGTGTCAATTGAAGAGATTAGAATATTTGGCAGCTTTGGCTTATGCCTTTGTCTTGTGATGTGAGATTAGAAAAGTGACCACTAAAAAGTGTTACGAAATACAACTATGTGGTTTTCAAAGTGATTTCCGCTATGATAGACATTTGACATCGTACCTCGATACATGATTTGTTTTATGTATATATACTTACCTACCAACAACAAAAATGATTGTATGTACGATTGTATAACCGAAGAGGAACAATCAACGACACGTGTATTGCGTACGCGAAATTATACGTATACAGTTGTACATGAAATCCAAACTAATTTTCTGATAAAAATAGCCAAAAAAATAGGATCTACTGTTGTGAACTATGTATGATATTATTCAATGGATAAATACTAAAAAAATGCCATTAAAAAAAAATAAATTTGTGTTCGTATGTACATGTTTATTCAATTTCGTGTCAGGCTTGCACATACGCACACACTAACACACACACACACACGTTTCCGTAATTTGTGGGTTACATGACTTTTTTAATAATTAATAGAATTTTTTTTGTAATTCTAAATAAGCCAGTCTAGGTAATGTGGTCACATGCGCACTATATATATACACTAAAAAGGATGCAATGATTACATCGGATGTTAACTAACAAAAAAAACATGAACGTAAAAGTTATGAATTTGTTAACGACGATTATTAAAAAAATTATACAGCTCATGCATACACAGATAAACATCTACATCAGTATTAAAAATAAAGTGTTATGGAAACATGAATAGTAAGAAACTGGGACAATATTATATTAAAAGTAATTTCTCAAATAGATTAATCGTAGTTATTCAAGTAATAATAATAGTGTAGTAGTAGTCCGTTTTTCTTCTAAAATAATTAAACATTAATTTATTCAATGCTTTTTTTTTACTCGTTGCATAGTCATAAAAAATATAACATTTGTCTATATACTAGAGAAATTGTAAGACAAATTTATTTACAGTCTCCACTGGTAACATATTTACCATAACCAAATGTAAATTATTTATGTGAGACTCAAGGATTGAAAAAGGAGTTTAGTAGTATACAAATCTAAAAATTTATTTTTGAACTTAACACATTAACTTGTTTCCTACTGAGCTATGCATTTTTTTGCTATGGGTGTGTAACGTACTGCATCAAATTTTTTACTTTTCATACTTTATACTTTCGCAGTTTAGCAGAGGTTTTACATTCTACAAATAAAAATACAAGCTTGAAATCAGATATATATTAACTTTATTGATTAAAACAATACATATTCTTAAAGTACAAAAAAATATTACAAATGTTAGATATTATAAATGTTGGAAGAGTATTAAATTCCTGTTTAAGTATAGTTTTTTAAATAACTAGAAAAAATGAAATTAAAATTAAAATGTACCATAAAACACTGTCTAAAGCTAAAAGCTGAAGCTAAATATATTTATGTAGCAAAAAATCTTATTTGGAAGCCAATGCTTTGAAAATTTCATAGAAAATCGGATTTTGGATAGATAATTCTTTAAATTCAGATTTCTGAACAACATCTTTTGCATTATTCACAATGAATTGAATAGCTTTATTTTTCAGCAAATCATTACTGTGACTATCAGCAAGATAAACGTATCCAATAACATTATCAGCATTCATGTTTTTGATAAGTTGTTTAACACACATTATTTTCAGTTGTTCAATCCCATATTTATCTGCCGCATAAAAAAGATCAGCTGCCAAGTTTATGAGTTTGCTCACAACACCAGTGTACAAGAAACGCAGCATTTCATATAATACTTCATACTTGATATCATCAATACGCACCTCATTTGCTTTGTTTTCGATCATGGCAGTGTCGAACATACTGGCAAATACTGGACTTTTCACGGCCAATATACACTTGTGTGCATAAATAACTTGGTCATTGATTATAATACTGACATCACTAAAGTTTTTATTATTAAGAAGCACTAGATAGTCATTTGATGATTGAACATGTTGCTTCAGTGGAATAAACTTTTTTGTACTAAAATCATATATTTTCTTATCACTATCTGAATCAGAATCTAAACAGTATTCTGCTGATCGAACATCTACTTTGTGAAAAGTAAACTCTAGTGTGATACTAGATTTTTCTGCAGGTGATACAGGTATACTATTATGTTCCACAGTTATTTGGTGCAGTTGAACTCGTCGATTTTGCAAATTGAACTTTTTCAATATCCCTTTTGTTAAGAAATTTCAATTCCACATCTCCTGAGATGCTTTCCGTATTTTTGAGCCTGCAGTGAAATGTATGTCCACCTGATCGTACTATCACTGGTGATGTTGGTGCACGATACACGATAGAACTCAATGGCGTAACCGGTGTAGCATGGACTGATGGTGCTGATACTATTGATAATGCTGTTGGTATAGAACACAATTTTTTAATCGGTGGCGTAACTGGCGTAACTGCAGTAAATAAGGGTGACTGTACTTGAGGACGTGATGTTTGAGGCAATGTAACACATCTAACAGGAGTTACAGGAGTAACTAAATTATTTATAGAATGAGGAACTATAGCTCTGGTGAAAATTTAAATGTATTTTGTATCAATTCAAATGATGGCGTTTTAGACAATACCATTTGCCACTCATATCCGACGTCTTTAAAAATGGGCGAAGTAATACTTCCTTCTTCAGGTATCTCTTCCAATACTATAGTCCATTTGTGAACAACTTTTTGATGAATCTCACCAGTATACAGAGTCATTTTGATGCTCGTAATACTTTATATATTATACACTTATTCTTGAAGTCCCAATGAACAGAAAAATCTTGATGTAGTCCTTGTGATTTAACGCCATTAATTTATTTAAGATATATTTTATTACGTGGAGTAAAACAGTTTATATCCACGTCATAAAGACTGTAGATTGTAATTAACTCAGGCCAGCCGGTTTATTAGTGCGGTCTTGAGTGCACGAGTACGTTTACATAAAATTTGTCCAAGATAACTTTCAGTTCTTAGGCTATGTTCACATGAAGCGTGTCTTTTTTGCTAATTCGACCCGCGAGTCGCGAGTCCCACGATCATCGATAAAGATCTCGAAAGCTCGAATCTCACATGGTATAGGGATCGATCGATCGATCGATCGATCGGGGATTCTATATATATTATAATGTGTCTATATATACACAAAAAAGGATTCTAGAGGACTTCCTGACTATCGCCCGGTAATTGAAAACCTCGCAAGGTAAAGTAAACTCATGAGCCCATTTATACCTATTGTTGGTTGAAGTGATGTTCACCCTTACCAATCGTTACTTTGGTACCGTAGGTGGGTAAGGTAGACCACTGTGACAATTATGTAATTTATTATATATACCTATATAATGTCTTGGAAACAGAGTGCGAGAATTTGGCTCCTTACACTTTTTACACACAAATGCAATAACAGAAAAAATGAAAAGAAAGAATGACGGGTAAGTGAGAAATATCAGTGTAAGAAATAAGCAGAGTAATAAATCAATGTACCTACTATACTTTTTTGAAAACATTAGTGAGGTAAGGGTCCAAACTTTGAGGAAGAAAAAGTATTCAAATGTTGGTTTATTTATAGGACACATAATGTCCTAATACTCCTGACAAGTAAACTGATCATAGCAGGTACTTACGTGAGATTACGTTTCTCTTGTATTATAAGCAGGAATATAACACATAGTACAGTAACACGTGAACAATCGCTTACGCTTAATATAAAAAATAATTTAAATCCTTGAGAGTGTTAATGAGCTTTATGTGTTGACTTTTTTTGTGTTCTTTAATAATTCTTTGAGCTGATACGAAAAACTTATATCTTTTAATAATTGTTTCGTTCTAAAATTCAAAATAGTTTTATGATTTTAATAGTTAATCGAAAATTTTTGTGGTAAAAATCTCACGCAATTTTGTTTGTGTAAAGTCATTTTTCTGAATCCTCGAAATGTTATACTTTGATAAGCTTACTAACGAACAAAAGCTTACGATTTGCTTCATACACTGTAGTTTCTTGCCAAGTAAACGTCATGAAAGTTCATTGAATTAAAACATCTTTGTTCCACGATTTGATTTGGGTATGAAATTCCAATCTTGCAAAAAATTAAACATTATTTGAAATATCATTCTTCGAATCATTTAGATTCTTACACATTAATTTTAAAAAGCGATTTTTGATAATACCAACAGTTTTTCAAGTTTAAACTTTATTCCTGGTTCCAGATAAATTTCCAAAGACACAAAAATTATTCTGTGCCCACTCGTGACTGCAGTCATTTACATAAACTAGGGAAATAATTTTAAAACTTACCGATTCAAAACGATTCAGAGAAATACGGCTGGTCTCTCGCTCTTGCTAAGTATCTCAGCTACGCTCATACAGCATAAGGTCAGGCTGTTCAACTGTAAATATCCATTTCTCTGATTGTTCCTCCTCTATTAGATAAATAGTTGAAGCAAGTTCCTATTTAATGTATGTATAGTAAAGGCAACCTTGCAATTCGATTTTTTGTTCTTACTCGAATATCCTTTTAGCTGGTAATTCAATACTTGACGTCAAGTACAACCATTCAAAAATAAGTGTATTCTTTTATAAATNAGTTGTGGTTTTACCGATCAATCGGATATTTTGGTTTGGAAAAAAAAAGAAAAAAAAAAATTTCAATCAGCGGTTTTAAGATCCCATGGAAAACACGCAGTGGAAAGTATTCATTTGTTTTTATAACTCTGATTCAAGCGCATTTCCTGCGAAAGAGTTATCATTCTTTTAATATTTTACAGCCATTTCTGAGAACTTTGCGTAATAGGCTCTGCAACACTGGGTTACTTTGTATTTAATATGTGCTATCATCATTGGCATAGTAAAAAACCGCCTTGGTTTTAATTGTGATCAATCACTTACACAGCAATGGGGACTTTGTTTTACGTGACTTCTGAACCTCTGAACCACAGTTGGGACCGAGATTCGAACCCGATGAACTTGCGTTACCAGGCACGCACGCCGAACCACAAGATCTGCAACCTTAACCATTATGGTGTATTGTTATTTCATTTCTTATACATGACAGGATCCACAAAAAATGTCTAATTTTTTCCCCGTTTATTCATAAAAATTTTTTTTTAGGCACACCCTCGAGATAGGGCTTATTTTTCTCGCAATGTCGTGTACTATTCGAAAAAAGATATGAATACGGGTTTCAATCAAGGTGACATCATTTTTCGTAAATTTACGTACAAACATTATATACCTATACGTGATGTGTATATATACAGATATAACAATAATAGTATTATAAATCGAGAAAGTGTGTCACCCCGACTGAAACCTGTGTGCATGAATTTTTTTATCATTGCGCGGAAAATAAGTCCACTCTCAAGGGTGTGCCTAAAAAGAAATTTTGGTGAGACGATATATTTACTCACATTTATTTCGGGGTAACAAAGTTTTTTTTTACGAATAAATGAAGCTCAAGAACCAAAAGAAAAATCTGAAATCTAATTCTTCGAAAACTTTTCGTTTCACTGTAGATTAAAACAATTTTTTTATTTTGTAAATAAAAAAACGTCGCTTAGACTTGATTGAATCATAGTAAGAATTTCAGTGTAAATAATGACAGTGCATTAATATTACTTTTGATATATCCTTCTTATCATAATTAAGCTTACGCCACTGATTATTTATAATTAGAAGTATTTTCAAGGTTCATTTATGTGATCAAGTCCGCATAAAATAAAGTCTATATACTTTTGTACAAATTGTTTCTAATCTTATATTTTTCTAATCCATTTTAGTATACGATAATACAAACAAGAAAATATATATTTTTCCGTAATCGAGAAAAACCAATCGCGCACGACCTTATCTTCGTTTTTTCCAACTCTAGCACCGAAGCAAAAAAAACGCACACTGTTCATGCGCCAAGTACCTCCTAATGGCAGAGGAAGTCTGGTCGCTTGGTTTTCATCCTTCAACACATTTTCATTGTTACGTAAGGGTATTTCAGATACAAACACTGACGCATTACCATTATACAATACTCTTTGATACAATAATAAAAAACAAAGTCACTACTACGATATTCACACTACCGATTCATTTACGTATATATGTATGTAGAAGGAGGAGCTACTCGGGTGACTTTAAACGTTTAAGGCCAGTTTATCGCGTGCCTCTTTGCGATGCGACTCGTTAACCGACAGAGCACGTATAACTGTATAATATTACTTACTAATGTAGGTATACATATTTTTGTTTAATTATATATACATATACTCTTGCGCAAACGGAAAGTAAATGTGAGTATTTTTCGGTTGATTTTTCGTACATAATTGCGCGTTACTTTTGCACGTGATAAGAGATTGGTGCAGTGAAGTTGTGGTTTTACCGATCAATCGGATATTTTGGTTTGGAAAAAAAAAGAAAAAAAAAAATTTCAATCAGCGGTTTTAAGATCCCATGGAAAACACGCAGTGGAAAGTATTCATTTGTTTTTATAACTCTGATTCAAGCGCATTTCCTGCGAAAGAGTTAAGATTGATTAAGGTTAATTCGTCCGCGAACGCGAAAGATAATAGAAATTTGTTCATCGTCCGATTACAGTGTTGTATTAAATATTGTTGTTGTAACGATGACTGCATCAATCTACAATAAAACTATGATTTTAACTAAACAAAAATAATATACAATTAACTATATGTAACGGCTGATTGGCCTAATAATAAGTTTTCGACATCGCACGCAAGCCAGCCGTAGCTGCCAGGTGGTAAAAGACAACCACCTTCATATATGTATACATATAAACAAATAGGTATGCACCAACAATAGCTTTTATGTACGATCTAAAAAAAGAATATAGCGTGTATATATAGGTGCCGATCGTTTCCCGGTCTTGTGACGCCTGGCGCGAATTTTTTCACAATAAAGCGGCAGTAGCACAATGAAAAAGCTCGCGCCTATTGATTCTTTAGCTCGAACCGTCGATGGTAATGTTTTTTAAACATATAACTTTCTCCACGTGACACGATGGTACCCGTATCGGTATCATTCATGGCTATGGGCACAGCTGTACAAACAGACAAGAGGAGATGGCATCGCGAATTTATATAATAACATATACGTCGATTACAAGTGCGCGACGTAAAGTTTAAAATAATAATTGCCTCCCTTTTGTACAATATTGATTTTTATCAGAAAAAAACAAAATTTTTTAAATTTTCTTTATTACGTGGTGAAAATATTATACAGTGAATGAAAAACAATGAAAATTTGGTTCACCTCGAGCGCGGCAATCGTGACATTCAAATCCACTTTAAATTTACACTGCAACACCAAAGCTTTATTGTCGGAAAACAGATAGTGTATTTACGAGCGATTGAGTAGCGAATGCAAATAACCTTTCACAATGCGCAACGATAAGAGTCAATTTTTTATTCTTCCTTTTTCCACGGAGAAATAAAAGTACATGTATCTATAATAGATAAAGATCAAAGACTTTTTTCTCATAAAGTCATGCTGGCAAAATCCATATAGGCTACTCGATCGGTACACACTGAACAGGTGTCACATGTCTCTTCGAGATAAGGCACGGATTAATGCAAATTTACTTTTCGTTGTTATTAATAATAATTGTGACGCATCGGGCGCCTTTACGGGAGCTCGTTACCTATTTAAAGTAAGTTTTAAGCTTGAGACTTTTTTGTTCAAGTATTATCTTCATCCGTACGCGGAAATAATTGACGAGTGCGGTTTCATGTAGAGAAAAAAAAAATTATGTGTCCTTGTTTCCTGAAAAAAACTGTGCAACGTATCATAAGTTTGCTTCAAGAACATGTACAGACGCTCGCTAATAAATATATAGTATAACGTGTGATTAAAGAGACAGAGAGAGAGAGAGAAAAATATTGTCGCGTTTGATGCGGACAAGGAGAAAAACATCAAGTCATGGATTCCAGCAGAGCAAACAGTCGACCGAATCCGCGAGAAAAAGCGAGTGCCATTTCAGTTCTGCTTTGGTGGTAAGTATATATTGATGGGAAACATAAGCAATTTTTTTTTACACCACTTTACCCTTATGGCAATTGAAAAAAACATTATTAATGCAAATGTGAATTATTTTTGAATAAGGTTGTAATCACGTTGGAAACGTCATTCAGTTGATAGCACCCATAAAGAAAGGGAATTAATTAGTTTATTGTGGTCTTAATATTACTCAAATAGTTAAAATAATATTTAGGTATTGCAAAAAATTATCAATCAGCTCAACCCCACACTTGATGGTAACACTTATCTTGGTCACAAATAATATTCAAATTAACGGAATAATAATGCAGGAGGACATTTTTGTTCAAAAACACCTACGGACATTTTGAACGTTTTTGAAGAATGTTCTCAAAAATTGATTTCACTACTTTGAAAAGTTGTGAAAACAACGTTTTTAAAACGTTGTGTACTGTTAGGATATGTTTGATAAAGTGATGCAATAATGACAATAGCGTATTAAAAGACGTATAGATAAGCAATATTCAATATCTGATGGAAAATTGATACTTTATTGTTGTTATAGTAAAACTTAAAAGTTTTCACAAATATTATTTTCAGCTAATTACAAGATTTAAAAGTTTTGGAATGAGACTCGTAGCTTCAATTTCTTTTTTCCTTACAGTAATTATTTCACCGGCAGTTTTATTTTTATCATGCATACAAAAAGTTTGTGGTATTATTGGGTAGTTTATCTGTTTAAATATTCGTCTCATTAAAAAATAAAATAAATCAATTCAAGAAATCTGAATGTACAACATTCTGTCATAGATTTAAAAAAAAATTTGCCACCGTAGGTCAATGTTTTTTTATTTAATAGAAATTTCAACGATACACGTCAAGTGTATTATTTAAGTAGATTTGGATTTTACGATTATTTTACGTAACACTTTCACTGAATACAATTAATAATAAATCGATCACCTTTTAAAGATAACACTTATTTGTTTTTCCACGGAACCGTAATATCTGAATTTTTTTTTTAATCTGTTATACTCCACCGGGTTAGATGACCTTTGTGTTTTTCATAATTCGAGACTTTGGTATTCCAGATATACTGTGGTCTTTGATAACGTCATCGAAATCCCACTTATTTCAAAATCTTTTTTTTTTACGACGATATCACTAAGATGTTTGGGACACAAGAATCTTTTTTGTTTTAACAATTTCAAGTATTTTTTCTTTCTTTCTTTTTTTTTTACAAACATTGATTTTTTGACGTGTTTTTTAAAATAACTTCACCGATATATTAATCAATGTGAGATTTTAAAATATGCGATTCAATGTAATCGTTGGATCTTATATGGTTGATCTAACTATTTTAAAGTTTATTTTTTAACTTCTATCTTTAAACTCGTAAATTTTATCAAATATTTTAAATAACTATCAAGAAATTAATTTAACTGTAACTTTATAGGTGGACAGTTGGTACATTTAAAAAAGGCTATACTAAAATCTTAGCAATCGATGACTTGTATGACCCGTTAAAAAAAGACAGATCGACCCTGTTAGGTGATCGATTAGAAAAGTAAGAGTCTCTTTTTTTTGGTTAAATAAATTTAATCTATACATTTTTCTTCAAATAAATAACATAAACTTGGTGTGTTTGCAGACAATGGAACGCCCAACTAAAAAATGCGGAAAAATTAAAGAGGAAGCCCAATTTGTTGAAAACAATGTTTCTTACATTTCGCATGGAAATTTTGTGCATGGGAGTCCTCCATATTATTATCGAGTTTATATTCAGGTAAACTTAATAAATGTACACTTACCTTTTTTTATAAATGTCTTATTATACTACTGCAAGTAAAATATTTCAGAATTTAAAATTTTTATAGGGTACATACTTTATTTGTTGTATCTAATATACGCGTAAAATCTTTTTTGATTTGGTTGCAAAACGATACTAACTTGTTTGAATTAACAAAAGTTTCAACGTACTTGTTTCAGAAAAAACATGATTCTGTACTGTTTTAAATCCTTTAACACATTTACCTCTAAAAATATTTCACAAATGTGTAAATTTATATCAATCATAAGCATTTTTTTTTTACTGGTAGTACGTTTCATTGAGAATTCCACTTGCCGTTCTTGGCTTTTATCTGGAAAAAATAATTGACTTGATTGCAACAATGTTTGATGAGAATAAAGTGTTATTAAGTGTGATTACCTGCGTGATAAATTTTCAAGTCCGCATGTTTTTATAAAGCTTATGGATTGTTGTTCAAAATTTTCAACTACATTAAGGTGAACACTGTTTCTCGATGAAAGAAATAAAAAGAAAACTTTAATAATTAAAATAAATCGGCTAAACTCTAGATACAGACAATATTAGGTTTCCTGTGGTGCCGCTAAGTCATTATTGTTTCAGATACTAGGTGAGTGGATTTCTGATTCTACAGGAATCCATCTGAAATTTAATACTTGAATGTTAATGGTATTATCAATAATAATAATTAATTGTATACCATCAAACATATTACTTTTTTCTTATAAACATTAAAATGCCTGAATAAATAGAACCATCCAATTGTAGTTACAATATACATCAAAACAATAAATTTAATGTCATGTAATTTAAAATTGATTGCAGATTAGCATCGCCATTACTGCTGGGATTGTTACTTCAGTATTTCAAGATTGAAACGACAACAACTTACGAGCAAGCTTTTCTTTACGCTGGCGCTATGTCAGTCAATAATCTCCTATCGATAATATCGTCAAACCATCTGCTTTTTCAGGCCTATTACCTTGGTGGTAGAGTTCGTGTATCAGTGTGCTCGTTGGTCTATCGAAAAGTAGGTGTGAATGTTGTTTTTATGACTATATATTTCTGTTCTTAGCCAAAATTATGAAAATTAATTGTACATACATTAGCAAACAATCGTAATGGACAGAAAAAATGTCCCAAGATGAAATTTTTAGCATCAAAAACTATTATGCGAATAAAAACTTTGTTTTAGAGAAGTATAGCTTCATGAAATATTTTTATAGAATAGAAATAGTGTCTTGAACAACGATAAAAAAAAAACTATACAAAGCAAACCGTTACATGCAAAGTGTATGAGTATTAAGTATTCTATTAATAAATCCAATTATGAAGATAGTATAAATAACATCACAACAATATTCATAACAAGAATAATAATAAAAACAATCTTATTGTTAATCAGGCGTTACGATTAAGCAAAACTGCGCTAGGTGAAACGGCACCTGGGAAAATCGTCAATCTTGTGGCCAATGACGTGAACCGATTCGATTTGGTCATGATTTTTCTACACCACATGTGGACTGGGCCATTGACAACCCTCATTGTAGCCTACATATTATACAGAGAAGCGCACGTTTCCGCCTTAATTGGTATCTCCGTACTGATGACTATAATTCCTATCCAAGGTAATTATACATTTAATATCAAGTGATCCGCAATACTACTGTAATCTAAAAATCAATTGTGTAATCTATTACATGTGAAAAAATTCCTTCTCGAACAGTATACTTTGGTAAACTGACTTCCAAATTTCGTCTACAAACAGCCATTAAAACAGATGAGCGCGTCCGTTTGATGGACGAAATAATATCAGGCGTGCAGGTAATAAAAATGTACGCTTGGGAGAAGCCGTTCTGTACCCTAGTGGAACTGGCTCGCAGACTCGAGCTAAGGATTGTGCGCAAAACATCGTTTCTCCGGGGAATTTTTATGACATTTTTTTTGTTCACTACACGAGCAGCATTGTACTGTACCCTCGTTTCAATGTTTCACTACGGCGAGCCTCTGACTGCTGACAAAATTTTCGTGTTTGCTTCGTTCTATGATTTAGTGGCTAATTCGATGACGTTGTTGTTCGCCAGAGGTTTTGCCGAAATAGCTGAGTGCAGGGTGTCTGTAAACAGGATACAGACCTTTATGCTTCTAGAAGAGTTTAAAACAGGAAACGTAACGAAAATTAACGACACAACTGATACAGAAAAGAGTCATAATCTGGTTATCAAAGACATGGAGAACAAAGTGGTACTGGAAAACGCTGCCAATGGAAAGTACGGAAGTGTACCAGAGATTGAGTAAGTATTCTGGAAATGCTATCTGTATGACTATTTAAAAGGAGATTAGTTGTGGACAGATAAGTATAATCATATATTTATGAGTACAGTAACACGATCGGAAACAATCGACAAACCTGGTCTGTGTCAATGGAAAACGTAACAGCTAAGTGGAACCCTGAATCGTCGGACAATACTTTGGAAAACATAAATCTCCATCTGAACGAGGGTAAACTGTACGCAGTAATTGGTGTCGTAGGTTCGGGAAAGAGTTCGTTACTTTCTTCTGTTCTGGGCGAACTCAATATTATCAAGGGAGACATCAAGATCCAAGGTAGGGTGAGCTACGTCAGTCAGGATGCTTGGGTCTTTGGCTCGAGTGTGCGTCAAAACATCCTCTTTGGCCAAGAATTCGATAGACAAAGGTATCAACGGGTAGTGAAGGCCTGCTCACTGTACAAAGATTTCGCACAGTTTCCGGAAGGTGATCATACAATTGTAGGCGAGAGGGGGAGTTCGTTGTCTGGGGGACAGAAAGCCAGAGTGAACTTAGCTAGAGCCATCTACAGACAAGCCGATATTTACTTGCTGGATGACCCCCTAAGTGCGGTATGATGAGACTGATTAGCAATAGATGCGTTTAATGATGTAAACTTTTCAAAAAATATTGAATATTTTTTAGGTCGACGCGCACGTGGGAAAACACTTGTTCGAAGAGTGTATAAGACGATATCTGCGAGGTAAAACTCGAATTTTAGCAACGCATCAGCTTCAATTCGTAAAAGACGTGGATGGTATTATTCTAGTGGAGCAAGGCAAAATTAAGTATTACAACGATTACCACAAACTACTAGAGGCGTATCCTGAATATCGTAGTTTGATTGCCACTGATAAGGAAGATAACTCAGTCGAAGATGATTCTATTGCAAAGACTGAGCTGAGAAGACGATTTTCGTCAACGGGCAGTAAAGTAAATATGAATATGCATTTGATGAAATCTACATTTTCTGATTTACGAAGTCACAAAACTTCATGAAGAAAAAACTTCTGCTATATTTAATACCTTAATATTTCATTTTTTTTAATTTTAATCATTAGAATTGAAATGTAATCGATTATTTAATTTAGTCACGGGTATCAGAGAGTGGAGATGTTGACATTGCTGACGAGAATGACGACTTGAGAAATTTAGAGGATGTAATGGAAGCTACATCAAAAGGTGCTGTGAAAGGAAACGTTTTTTTACAGTATTTTCAATCAGGTTCCAATATATGCATGATGTTTGTTATGATTATACTGTTTCTTCTGACCCAGCTTTTTGTCAGTTTGAACGACTTAGCAGTTCCTACGATGTAAGTAAATAGATTTAATGTGCATCACATATCTACAAGGGATTTACCTCAACCCTATGTTGTATATTTCAGTGTCAATGCAGAAGAGTTGCGAGCCTTTAATAAATTAAAAAATGACAGTAGTAACGCAGAAAACGATACCACTATCGAGATGACCGAAGATGAGCTTTACCCTGTGGAGTACTACATTTATCTCTATACATTTATAGTCGTATCAATTTTCGTATTTGGCTTGACACGTTCGTTTTTATACTTCAAACTCTGCCTTCAAAGTAGCGAGCGTTTGCACAACTCAGCTTTTGCAGCCATCATCCGATCAAGTATGCGTTTCTTTGATACGAATCCAAGTGGGCGAATTCTCAATCGATTTTCGAAGGATACATCTGCAATGGATGAATTGTTACCTAAAGCAATGCTGGATTCTAGTCAAGTTTTATTATTGATGGGTGGTGCTCTGGTGCTCACCTGTTTGGTTAATCCAATATTTTTGGTTCCTGCTGTATTCATTGGAGTTGTGAGCTACTGGATAAGAAAGGTGTACCTCAAGACTAGCAAAAATATCAAACGTCTCGAGGGCATGAGTAAGGATTAGTATAAGTATTCTAATCTGTAAAATTACAAACAGCATGAAAACTCACACAAACTATGTTTTAGCTCGATCGCCAGTATTCACTCATCTGAATGCTACTTTAAATGGAATATCGACAATTAGAGCTTACGGAGCTCAGAATATTCTTAAATTAGAGTTTGACAAGTTCCAAGACGTCCACACATCAACGTGGTATATCTACACAGCGTGCAGTCTTGCCTATGCCTTTGCCTTGGATTTATTTACCTTTAGCTTCATAACTCTCATTACCTTTACTTTTTTAATTTTTCGAGATCGTAAGATTATATTTACTACATACATGTATACTGGTCATTCTACCAAAAACGGTATACTTCATGTCCCATTTGATTACAACGTCGTGTAAGGAGATATTGATCTGAAAACTTTTAAATACGTAAAGGATGTTTATTGCTGAAGGTACAATAGAATTGAGATCATAAAAAAGCATTACTTTAGTTTAAGATGTAAAAAAGGACTGAATTAGTGTCAGGGGCTCATGTCTCACTCGTAAAGTTATAGTTTTGATGATACTTTTAATCAAAATACGGATTTAAAAATTTTTTTGTTGTATAGAATTACAAAGTTATCAACTCAAACATTATTTTTCAACGAATTTATAAGGCCTATAACGCTCCTGTTTTTCTTAAGAGCCCATAACGCTTTGCATCTTCATTTATTGTTGGTTTTTGAACTCAAGTAGTGACTTATACGAATGTTAGTAGTTGGTACATGATATAAATGTAAGAATAAAGTCAAATGATCACTGACAGCCCTGTTACCTCGATTATAATAAGATTTTATAAGAGCCTGCCACGCTCCTATTTATTAAAAATAAAATAAGAAAGTCATCGTAAAAATTTTTCTCGTCCAGATCCAGCAGGGACCAAAAAATTTTTGCTTACTTTGGTCACGGTTAATACGGAAAAAAAATTTTTTCCGCCCTCGGGTGGTTTTGGGAGGCTGGTACTTCCTCGGGCGAAAAAGCAGTTTTCCAGAACTCGTTCGAAAAGTCTCCTTTACGAACCTCGTTACGTCCCTCGCCTTCGGCTCGGGCCGCAAACCTCTCAGTTCGCAAACAGAGACTTTTCAAACTCGTAGGAAAACTACCATTTATTAACAACCCGTTTTAAGTGTTTGTCCATGCCAGCCCTTAAAATATACCGGTTTTCGTAGAATGACTCATATACTAACTATCAATATGATTAAAACAATTGTTCACGCTCTCATGGTAATTTTGAGTCGCATTATTACAGAATTTAATGGTGGATCTGTGGGACTTGCTATTACGCAAATGATGTCGATAACTGGTCTAGTACAATGGGGAATGCGACAAAGTGCTGAGGTAACGAATCAAATGATGTCTGTCGAAAGAATCTTGGAGTACACGCAGATACCCCCGGAAACGAATTTGCCGGATGCCGACAATACTACCAAAGGAAAAAAAATAAAAACAAAGAACCAAAAAACCTTGATGGTACAACTTTTCGTACCACCTAAAGACTGGCCCCATGATGGCGCCGTCGAATTCAAGAATGTCTTCATGAGATACGCTGACAATGAGCCACCCGTACTCAAAGACTTAGATTTCCACATCAACCCATCGGAAAAGGTATATTGGAGTCGATATGCTTTTGAAGACGTTACGTAATCCACAGGTTTTATGTTGTTAGGTGGGAATCGTGGGAAGGACCGGAGCTGGTAAATCATCGCTGATCTCGGCAATGTTCAGACTAGCTCCATTAGAAGGTACAATAGAGATTGACGGAGTTGATACGGGAACGATATCGCTGGAGGACTTGCGGAGTCGGGTGTCGATAATTCCTCAGGACCCCGTACTTTTCTCCGGCACATTGCGTCGCAATTTGGATCCCTTCGAAGAGTATCCTGACACGGCTCTATGGGAGGCTCTAGACGAGGTAAAATAGTTAAATAAATGGGTTCATTGACTTATAAATCGTGGAATTGTCATTGTGTTTTTGAAGGTCGAACTCAAGGACGCGATAACGGCATCTGGAAATGGCCTAAACTGCCGAGTACTCGAAGGAGGCAGCAACTTTAGCGTCGGCCAGCGTCAATTGGTCTGCTTGGCAAGAGCCATTTTGAGGAATAATCGCGTGCTGATGTTGGACGAAGCCACTGCCAACGTTGATCCACAGACGGATGCTTTGATCCAAAGTACAATTAGGACAAAATTTGCTTCGTGTACTGTTTTAACGGTGGCGCATAGAATAAATACAATAATTGACAGTGACAAGGTCATAGTAATGGACAAAGGCCAATTAGTTGTAAGTAAATGATGTTTTAAGCACACAACTGATATTATACCTTTTAATTGTCGAATGTAAGTACAGAATATGCCCAATTTTTACAGGAATTCGATCATCCGTACTTACTGCTGCAAAAAGAAAGTGGTCAATTCACGTCGCTTCTGAAGGAAGCTGGAGATGCTATGTACCAACAGTTATACGAGCTAGCCGAACAGTGTTACAAAGAAAAATCTGTCAATTTCAGTTAACTGTGATGAATTTAAGATTTTGTTTGAATTAAAAAGATTTTCTTTTATTTAAAAGTGATTTGTGTCATATTACGCGTTCAAAGAATGACTTTGAGGAAAACGTTAGTGATCACTACTTTTTTTAAGTATTGTGCATAAAGAAAGGATATTTATATTTTTATAAATTTTGTAAATTAATACATGAAGTACTGTGTATGATATATAAAAAATAGAGATCTAAGTATTAACTGATTAGTATTTCAAAATATAATATGTAAATTCTAAAAATTGAGAAATTATTTTCTATGATAAAACCTTTTTCCTGTTTTAACCGTGAGCCACGATAAATATCGTAAATAGGGGATCAATGGATTTAGATAAAGTGCAATGGCCGTCGAAGTGCAGTCCTGATTAGTTGCGTGTAGGTATACAGTGAACATACACAGTGAAATGGTTTAAATATGGCGGCCATCTACTGCACTGTATAAACTAGATCCACTGTAACGAGAGGTTCTTCGACTGATGTCACCACTAGCAGCATGTATCATTGCTAATATTATTGTGAAATTTTTAAACATGAGCAGCCAATTAAAACCTTAGGTCTTAAGTGAGCTATAAATACAAGTTATCGAGTCGTTCACTAAAAAGTTCTAGATTGTTTTCAATTTGGAATTAAAAATTTTATTTGAAAAGACACCTTTCTGTTTTTACTGTATCATGCATTAAACATTGTATGCCATTTTGTAGTTAAAATTTTTTAAATATTTTTTGATATAAATTTACTTTCATATTTTGCATTGATTCATATCTTATCATTTTATCCAACATTAACGTCAAAATTTTCATTCCATTAGATTAATATAAATCTATTCTTTGCAATACACTTATCTTGAGTATATAAGAATATAAAATGAAGAATTGCATCGTAATACTTATTACATTACAATAATTCTGTTTACCGAGAATAAGTCGTCCCTTGTCGTTTTCATGGAGGATTTTATGTTAAAGTCCAGCAAATTTGCAAGAGTAATCTGATTCAACTAATTTTCTTTCCATGAAATTTAACACGGTTTGTATAGCAAAATGATAGTACAACTTATTTTCACACGGAGAATTACGCCACGCCCAGATCACTCGACGACTTGAAAGTAGACATAGTTTAATGACTATTAAAAGTACAATTTAAGTACAATTTGCTTTTTTTTAAAAAACATATAACTCACTTCAGAAATTTCAAGTGAAAATTAAGCAATCAAAACTTCTCAAACTCTTGAAACTGTGGACAAAAAATTCTGATAATGATTCCAAGTTCGCAACCATATAACATTATTTTTAATCATATAATAGTACATCAAATTTTCGTATTATCGTTTCGAATTATCTTCATCAAACGTATACATACATAATTCTTGTGATAAATTATACAACTATATATAAAGATTAGTATAAATTAGTAATCGTCCTAACGTAGATTCTTCACACGTGAGTCATAGTTTTAGAAATCGCTTCTTGAAATACTATACAAGGATTGTTCGTACAAAACTTGTGTGGACAAAATAGCATCACAAATCATATGAAATTCTACCTATGTCTATTTAGTATACTTCCATCGCTCCATTATTTTATTACATAACGTTGTTTGAAAAAATTCAAACCAAGCAATGGATAAAAGAGACACTCAAAACTTTAGACAGAGATTGTTTTATTAGCATTAGCAAGCTTCATACAAATAAGTATAAAGTGGATATAAACATTTATGGAGTACCATACGATTCTTCGCTTTCATCATAAAGTATATATTACAGCTAGATAAGTACTGCAGACATAAATTTCAAGGCTTTCTTTATGAATAATGGAACATACACCCGGTTAGCGTGTGTAGTCGTAGATGACACATCTGTACCATCACGAGTAGAGGTAACTTACCAAATTTTATAACTCTCGTTCCATTTATGTAAATATACATTGTAACGTATTCAGTTAGATGTTGATTACTTACTTTTTATTTGCTGATTACCTTTGTAAAAGTAATTAATGATCTTTCACAATTTATTTATAAGATATTTTTCAAATATACTTATAGCTAAAATAGTTTATTCCTGCAAGAATTTTGTAAGATAATTAAAAGACTACCTGAATCTAGGTAGTAGACAACAAGTACAAAAATAATTAAAAAAAAAACGCATGTTTATTTGGCAATAAGGGCATAGTTACACTACTTTTGAAACAACAAAAAAGTATTTTTTCTAATTTTTAAATAATTTAAGTCAACAACGTACTTGAAATTTCATGGATAATGTGGCTTTTTTCTATCCTACTTTTTACTTTGCATATCCCTGATCAAACTGAGGCACAGATATGTATTTATTCGTCTTCTGATAATGTGATTTAAAAGAACGACACCGTACAGTAAAGGCTAAGAGTTACTGGGTAGCTCAAGTGTACAAGAATAAAAAAAAATGTTGTGTAAATAAATACCTAACTGAGTTTTACAATAAATGATACTTCGTGGAAGAGCTGCAGGTATTTAGTGTATGTACATATTTTATTAGTTTTCAACCAAATAATCCAGAAAACAGACTCGTTACAGTGATCATTGGCTTAGTTGTATCAGCATATAATAACGCCATAAATTTTTTTTCTTTTTCCTTTTTTATCTTTTATAAAAATGTAACAGTTTTTTCACGCATTACGTGTGTTACATTTGTTTCGGTTATCTCACATGATTACATTGTAGTATTGCTTGATCTTATGTTAGATTACATTGCAATATCTTACTCTATTAGCGTCGTGATTCATATTCAAAAAATATTGAGCGATTTTCATCGTACAATTAAAATATTTAAAAATTTTATTCTGTTTTTATTTTAGTCTAGTTTTATTTATTTTTTTTAATATTACTTCTCAATACATCCATGCCGCACAAATGTTTAATAGGTGTTCTAGACTGCCATCCTTATCTTTACATAGTTTGTTCATTCGTTCCTCGCTACTTAACCAATACTTGTTTTCACTTTCCAAATTACCGCAACGCGCTCTCGCTACATGACATGTTTATTCGTCCCATTACAGTATTTGTTTGAATCGGTGGCCCTCCCCACCGACATTAATTTCTGTTATCTACTTTTATACTTAGATTCTTTTGTTTTCGCTTCTACAATCTAGTTATCTATATCAGTCACACGCCGATAGATCTTGCCCACCACATTTATTTCCCTTTCTCTCCATGTATACAATATTATTACATTTAAACCTAAATTGTTAAGATATTTCTTCTTATCTGAGTAAGTTTGCACCTTTTTTTGACTCATCCTTAAAAGTCTCGTAATGTAACCTTGTGAGCCTGTCCTCCCTCTGTCTGGCAATTTTATGATCAAATTTTAAAACTCTTAAACTGAAGTGTAGCCTCATCTTTTCGATTCCAGTTTTTTTCATAATTATATACCTCGGTGTACAAAAATCCAACCTTAATACCGGCAAGCATTTAGCGGAAAATTTTTTGTTTGATTTAAAAGTAAATATTTATGATATATGAGTGTCACTCACATCTACATACGATGATTCTTATAAACAGTAAATGAATGTTAAATAAATTGTAAATAATGATTCGTATTATCATATGTTTATGTATATTTTAAGACATTAACAAAATTCTCATAGGTGGCGCTTTTACAGATGCGCCACACAGCAAACACATTTCTCTTTTACTCCTCCAACACTGTGTTCTCCCTCTCCAACTTTTCTAGTCATGTAATAACTGTACATGATAAATGTGAAATTTGTTTATTTGACAGTATCGCTTTTGCTCAGGGCTCTATGAGTTCAAGCCTAAACCGTGGTATATAAAGTTTTCTTTAAAACCTTTTTTCGATTATTGTGTGCCGATAAAATTAAGTAATGGATTGCATTAAAGAAAGCCATCAACCAAACCCACGAGAAAAAGCCAACTGTATTTCGGTATTACTTTGGTGGTGAGTATTTATAAAATAACATTTTTTTACATTTTATTGTTTAAATAAAAATTTCTTGGCATGTCATTTCGTGTGCAGTGACAGAGCAAATTGTATTGTCAGCACAATTGATATAAAATAGAATAGATTTGATCCATGAGTAATAATATAAGCTGTAAAATGAAGTCTTAAAAACTCATCAAATATCTAAAAAATTGAACATATCAATATTCGTTACTATTTTTACTTTTTACTATAAAAATTATTTACACTATGAAAAACGTGTCAAATATAGAGAGGAAATAACTGTACGCAAATTTAACGGTAAAATTGTTTTATTCGTTCTTTCAGTGTGATTTGATCTGATCAGCTAGTTTTAGTGAACTTTTTTATCGCTTAATCGTGATAGAGTATATCATTAAATTGCATTAATGAATTGTACTTAAAAAAAATAAGAGAACATCTTTGGTTTGGATGAAAATCATGAGGATTATAAATTGTTAGTACTGGTTAACCTTGTGTTTTCTACAATAGTGGTCTTATCGTAGATTATTCTAAAGTTTTTTCTGATTACTATCGAGACTGGTAATTATGGTACCTAGTTTCTTAGAACGTCATTAAATTACAACTGTTTGATAATTTTTCTTTGTCTTTCTGAAAAACCATTTCATAAAAAAATATTTAAACCAGTATTTTTTTTTTTTTTAATTTTAAATACATTTATTTTAGTTGATTTATTAACACTTTAGTATAAGTATTCTAATCTGTAAAATTACAAACAGCATGAAAACTCACACAAACTATGTTTTAGCTCGATCGCCAGTATTCACTCATCTGAATGCTACTTTAAATGGAATATCGACAATTAGAGCTTACGGAGCTCAGAATATTCTTAAATTAGAGTTTGACAAGTTCCAAGACGTCCACACATCAACGTGGTATATCTACACAGCGTGCAGTCTTGCCTATGCCTTTGCCTTGGATTTATTTACCTTTAGCTTCATAACTCTCATTACCTTTACTTTTTTAATTTTTCGAGATCGTAAGATTATATTTACTACATACATGTATACTGGTCATTCTACCAAAAACGGTATACTTCATGTCCCATTTGATTACAACGTCGTGTAAGGAGATATTGATCTGAAAACTTTTAAATACGTAAAGGATGTTTATTGCTGAAGGTACAATAGAATTGAGATCATAAAAAAGCATTACTTTAGTTTAAGATGTAAAAAAGGACTGAATTAGTGTCAGGGGCTCATGTCTCACTCGTAAAGTTATAGTTTTGATGATACTTTTAATCAAAATACGGATTTAAAAATTTTTTTGTTGTATAGAATTACAAAGTTATCAACTCAAACATTATTTTTCAACGAATTTATAAGGCCTATAACGCTCCTGTTTTTCTTAAGAGCCCATAACGCTTTGCATCTTCATTTATTGTTGGTTTTTGAACTCAAGTAGTGACTTATACGAATGTTAGTAGTTGGTACATGATATAAATGTAAGAATAAAGTCAAATGATCACTGACAGCCCTGTTACCTCGATTATAATAAGATTTTATAAGAGCCTGCCACGCTCCTATTTATTAAAAATAAAATAAGAAAGTCATCGTAAAAATTTTTCTCGTCCAGATCCAGCAGGGACCAAAAAATTTTTGCTTACTTTGGTCACGGTTAATACGGAAAAAAAATTTTTTCCGCCCTCGGGTGGTTTTGGGAGGCTGGTACTTCCTCGGGCGAAAAAGCAGTTTTCCGGAACTCGTTC